TCTTTATATATTTAGCAATTAAAACAAAAACATAACACAAAACTAAAGCTGTTTTAATATGAAATATATTATAAAATATGGTTATTACCTCAAATGCCTATTTTTTATCACTTATAAATTCATAAACTGCTTTTAATGTACTCGAATCTATCAAACACATTTTATTGTAATATATAAATTTATATAATTTTATATACAGATTAAATTTATAGATAAACATTTAAACAACATTTATTTTAACCAGTTCTCCTAATTAATTTTACTAAACATAAAATGAAAAATGACAATAATCCTTTTGGAAAATGCATGCAATAAAAAATAATACTGTAGCTCAAAAAGAGCAGAATTTGACATAACCTTGGTGAAATTATATGAATTGAATACGTGTGACCAAAATGTTATAAAAAGGAATTTTGACCAACAGTTTCAAAGACAGCAGTTTCTTTAATATTAATATTTCGATATTAAAATCGAAATCGATATTAAGTGTTTTCAAGAGCATAAATATATAAGACTTTCAAGAATAAAGTGCTAAAACCATTTTATTTATTTCTATTAGCATAACCATCGAAATTTGGAAATAATTAATTTTATTTCTTTCCATGATAAAGTTATATCAAAAACCTATATAATCAATGGATTAACAAACTGAAATAATTTATAAGTATCGAAAATTATTTTTGTTTGATATTTAAAAAAATTAAATTGGTTAACACTATTATTATGCCCAATAAACAAATATTTTTTAATTAAATTTCATTTATGACAACGAATTCACCTCGAACTTCACATTATATTTCATGAAGTTGTATATGTTCATGCGCTTGTTATAATTATAAAAATTTAAATTATAAATAATAATAAATTAAATATAATAATATTATATTAATTTTTACAAACTTGTTTGCAAAGTTTGTAAAATTATCATAACGTATTTACCTGATAATAATCAGCACATATAGAAGATGGACCAGTGGAGAGTTGAGCAACATTGGCCTTGGGTGTTATCCATCTAATATAAAGAAACAAAAATATTCAGTTAATATACATTACATTGCTATAATAAATTAAAATTACATTTAATTAAAATTTTGTAAAATAACTTCACATGAACTTCACATTATATTTCATGAAGTTGTATATGTTCATGCGCTTGTTATAATTATAAAAATTTAAATCATAAATAATAATAAATTAAATATAATAATATTATATTAATTTTTACAAACTTGTTTGCAAAGTACTAATAACCGTAATTTTTTCTTTCAGAGTAGCAAAATAATAGTAAAATAAGACGTAAAAGATTTATATTCGTGATTTTAGATATTAATGTGTACATTGTACTAAGTTTACATGAAAAAATTGCATAAAAGTATTTTACTCGTGCAAAATCTTTATGTATGTCTTCACAAAAAAGAAGAATACATATAAATATAATTGAATTATAAAAAACCTTATGCTCACCAATAAAACAAAAATAAAAAATACGCGAAGGGAATTAATACTTTATATGCATATATAAATCGTATCTATATATATATTAACAACGATCTCATGTATAGTTATTAACAATGTCATGCGTTTTTTGGTTAATTTTAGTATCAGATTAAAAAAAAAAGAAAAGAATAAGAAATAAATTGTATTTATATACAAGATTAATTACTTTATGATTACAATGTAATTAGATTTAATGCCAGGCATTTCGTATACAACAATAAAATAATAAAATTTGAATCGAAAACTAAATTTATTCAATTTATACGCATTCTATGGTAAATATAACACATTTTCTCATAAATCAAAAAAAAAAAAACTTTTTTCCGAATGCATCATACATTTTCCTTAACTAAGTTTCTTTTTAAATATATTTGTAATGATTAAATTAATAATTAATCTTAATTTATTTACAAGTACTTTTAAGTCAAATTTCGATAATATATTAAATTCTCTTAACTGAACTGTTATCTGTTATCAGCGATTAGTGAGTGAGCATAAGGTACGTTTATTTATTTTTTAATGTAGTTTTGCTAATTTCCTAAAGTAATGTTTCAAATTACATTTTTAGCATGTTTCGGCTGAACTTTTTAACAGCTTTTATTATAATTTTTTTTTATAAAATTTTTATTCACACACAAAACTCAATACGAACATATTTAAAACGCGAACGTACTTTTGTATAACATCTTTACACTTTCTTTAGACTCTTGAGGGTCTTATTTATTAAAATTAAACTTTTGAGAAATAAGCAAAATAATTTGCTTATAAAATTCACACACGTGACAAAAATTAACGGTAAATTCAAGTATTTAATTGCTGAAAGTCACAGCTGACATTACCATTATGTGTACGACAGGGTTGCTCCCTAAAAATTCATATTGCAATTTTAATATTGCACAGGTATGATATATATTCGCATTATTTATACAATATGTTTTGGAAATTATATGTACAAGTGTTTAGTAATGTTAAAGTAAATGAAATTTAAAAAATTGAATTGTATTATTAACAGCTGGAAAACATATTAAAAATATTTAATTAAAAATATTATTCAAAAAATTTTATTTTTCCGTTTGTCAGTACTAATAACCGTAATTTTTTCTTTCAGAGTAGCAAAATAACACTCGCAACTTACGAAAGGAAACATGTGAAGCAACAACAATGCTTTTAAGACTTAATTTATGTTACATTAATATTATTATGTTTACATTATGTACGCAAATAATATATTGTTTTAAACAAATGTTCTTAATAAGTATGTATGTTAAGGTAATGTTTTATTTAAAATAAATATGCATTAATGATAATTTATAAAACTATAACAGTGTGAGCCATTTTTGTGTACAGGGAAAATCTATTAAAGGACAAATTAGTATACATACATTTTAGGAGTCAATATTATTTAACGCAAGTGATTTAAATTACTAATCATTTTTTAATTATTAAAATAAAATTAATATATACACAAATATTTCGCATCATTTCAAGCACAAAAATTTTTCTGTTGTTTAAATTATTAAAAAAAAAATTCGATTCGAAATTAAAAATATATTTAACAAAGTAATAAACATGTAAAACATATTATACACATTTACTTTTTCCATATTAATTCGTTTTGTGAATGGCGAATCTCTGTGCAAATGATTTAAATAATTGAGTTACTTTACCAAATTGTATTCTAAGTTAATTTTATCTTTATATATTTAGCAATTAAAACAAAAACATAACACAAAACTAAAGCTGTTTTAATATGAAATATATTATAAAATATGGTTATTACCTCAAATGCCTATTTTTTATCACTTATAAATTCATAAACTGCTTTTAATGTACTCGAATCTATCAAACACATTTTATTGTAATATATAAATTTATATAATTTTATATACAGATTAAATTTATAGATAAACATTTAAACAACATTTATTTTAACCAGTTCTCCTAATTAATTTTACTAAACATAAAATGAAAAATGACAATAATCCTTTTGGAAAATGCATGCAATAAAAAATAATACTGTAGCTCAAAAAGAGCAGAATTTGACATAACCTTGGTGAAATTATATGAATTGAATACGTGTGACCAAAATGTTATAAAAAGGAATTTCGACCAACAGTTTCAAAGACAGCAGTTTCTTTAATATTAATATTTCGATATTAAAATCGAAATCGATATTAAGTGTTTTCAAGAGCATAAATATATAAGACTTTCAAGAATAAAGTGCTAAAACCATTTTATTTATTTCTATTAGCATAACCATCGAAATTTGGAAATAATTAATTTTATTTCTTTCCATGATAAAGTTATATCAAAAACCTATATAATCAATGGATTAACAAACTGAAATAATTTATAAGTATCGAAAATTATTTTTGTTTGATATTTAAAAAAATTAAATTGGTTAACACTATTATTATGCCCAATAAACAAATATTTTTTAATTAAATTTCATTTATGACAACGAATTCACCTCGAACTTCACATTATATTTCATGAACGTCCCTGCGCTTGTTATAACCATAGGTCATAATTCAATTACTTTATAATTAAAGTAACCAGGTCTTGTCACTTGAGCTGTCATTCGATAAGAAGAGGGAAAACTGTCAGAACGCCGCCGCGCTTTTGTAACTTGTTTGCGAAATTTTGTAATTCATATAATAAGTTTAAAGTAAGTTTTTAGTTGCATTTTTTGTAAAATTTTATAATAAAGTGAAACGAATAACTTTTATCTGGTAAATATATAATAAAATGTTGAATTTCATTCATATTGAACTCTGATAGTATTGTTGTAAGGTGAACGTATATACGCCTTTCAGAGACCTAAAGATACACTGCGTTTTTTTTTTGGTTTTTGTTGAAAACGTGTTATTAAATACGAAAGTTAAATTTGTTACATTAAATTACAAATGTAGAAATAATTTTTTATGAAATGTAGCAAAAAATTTGGCATTTTTTGTTTATAATCAAATCTAATATTGCCAATATTAAAAATTCGTGCATTCGCAGCGGATGCGAATGTTGTTTAAAGCAACTTAAGATTAATTTTATATGTTAGGAAAAATTGTTGTTGTGTTGAGTAACTATGAAAAATATTATTTTCATATTACATAAAAATGTGTTAGAATGTTATTAGAACGAATATCAATACGTTCGCATAGTTTTAATAATATTTATTTGATTATTTTCTGTCTGAGTTGGCAATGCTGCACACATCTGAAGTGATGGAGAGATAATTTTTTAAGGTTAAAAATTAAAAAGTTGAACGCAAACAGAGAAGATTAATTGCGAAAACAAGAAAAGTAAATAATCAGTTGTGTTTTAATAGTGTTTAAGGTGTATATTGTAAATATATTTTCGGTGACAGGTTTTGTCTAAATACTAGAAAAAGTTCTCTTTTTATTGTATTGTGTCTGTGCTAATTTGTATACAAAAATTTTTTCACACACATTCTACATAATTTAATCTGCAAGTTTGTGATTTGTGATTTTGTTTTTGTTGTGTTTATTGTTCAATACGAAATAAAATTATATTGCATGCCTTAGCAGTCGAGTTGTTTTGTGAACTTGAACAACAGACATCCAAACAGAACAGAATCTGTAAATAAATTCGAACATTTGTTTGCTCCCATAGAAGTTATGTATGGCGATTTCGTCATTGTACACCTGAGAAACATACTAAACGTACATAAATATATATGAACGAGTGCGAGTGTATAATATAAGTTTATGTAGTTCAGCAAAGAAATAAGTGTACAAGTCAAACGTTTTATAAACAGAGGGGCATGTTTTATTATTGGCAATTGTGTAATCATTGATTTTTCAAGTGTGCAAATATTGTTTGGGAAATGCAGCGAATAAATAGAGAAATGCCATTATAAAATAGTAATAACTTTGGTTAGCTCTACTGACGTAGAATGTGTTTTTTTGCTAAGTTTTTTCGATAAATATTGAAGAATTGACAAATACGCACTGCGTTTGCGATTCGATTGTAGGTTCAACGATCAAATTGAACGCTAATGTATATTTTCTCGATTTTTACTCTTTACTTGCAGCTAAAAATTTCTCCTTCGCTTTGATTTTTATTTGCCAACGCTACTACCAACGCGAGTGACCGACCGACCGGCACACTGAGATTTGCTTTTGCTTGTGACCTTTAACACATTATGAAAAACAGACATGGGTGGATTCCTGGATAAACCAAAAACACTCAAACACAATGATCAAGGTGAGGGAAACAAGTTGCTGTATGGCGTCAGCTCGATGCAAGGCTGGCGGTGCGAAATGGAAGATGCGTATTACGCGCGTGCCGGTCTTGGTAATGGCTTAGAAGACTGGAGCTTTTTTGCTGTTTTTGACGGACACGCTGGTTGTAAAGTGTCAGAGCATTGTGCCACACATCTGCTTGATATTATTGTGAATACTGATGAGTTTAAGAACGGTGACCATGTCAAAGGCATACGAACGGGTTTCTTACGCATCGATGAAGTTATGAGAGAACTGCCTGAACTAATGCAGGATGCTGAAAAGGTTGGCGGTACTACAGCCGTTTGCGCACTCATATCATCTACGCAAGTTTACATAGCTAATTGTGGTGATTCGCGTGCGGTTTTATGTCGCCAAGGTGTGCCTGTCTTTGCAACACAAGATCACAAACCTATACTACCTGAAGAGAAGGAACGTATTCATAACGCTGGTGGAAGTGTAATGATTAAACGTGTCAACGGCACATTAGCTGTATCACGTGCACTGGGTGATTACGACTTCAAGAATGTCAAAGAAAAAGGACAGTGCGAACAACTGGTATCACCTGAACCGGAAATATTTTGCCAAAGTCGCCAGGATACTGATGAATTTCTAATATTGGCTTGTGATGGTATTTGGGATGTCATGAGTAATGAGGACGTTTGTAGTTTTATACACTCGAGGCTGAAAATCACCAACGATTTGGTAAACATAGCAAATCAGGTTATTGATACATGTTTGCACAAGGTACGTTCAATATAAGTTAGTTAGGTCTATAATTAAAGTACTAATATCATTTCTTTATGTGCATTGCAGGGTAGTCGTGATAATATGAGCATAATAATAATTGCTTTTCCTGGCGCACCTAAACCTACTGAAGAAGCGATAGAAGCTGACAAGCGATTGGAAAAACAATTAGAGGAAATCACTAGAGGTTGTTTAAGTAGTTTATTTTGTCTTTAACAATCGTAGTAATATTATGGCAACATACAATGGGAATCTCGTGTTCCTCGGATAATTTGTCACTTTTATGCAATTAATATACCTTTAAAATTTTTGCGTTTTAGAATAACAAATTTACCAAAAGTTCCTTAGTAGTTCTTAGAACCATCTGCGTGTACCCTAGTTTTCATTTAAAGCAGTATTATTTACTTTAACAGCTGCTACAATTTACGAACACCTTTTGCATACGATAAGACAATATCTGTTTTCTTAAATAATTATCATTTTTATTTAAAAACACCCGAAAAAAATAAAAAGAATTATAGCCAATTGGTGATTCTTTTATTGGTGTTGTGCTATGCGGTGTACATTAAACAGCACTTAATATTTCATTAAATTATGAACTATATTAAAAATTTTTTTCATTTGAATTTAAGTTTATTGTAGCAGCAGTGCCATACCTAATATGTGGCAATTGTAACTGCCAAATCTAATTAATCTAGTCAAATTTATTTTAATTACGAATAGTACTTCGATATCTTTTATATGCATACGCGGATATCTTAGTTCCAAAACCCAATAAATAGTTACAATAAATAGTTTATGATGATTTGTGATACTTTATAAAATCGAAGTTTGTTGGAAACTTGTTAAAAATCTAGAGTATCGATAGGCAAAAATTATTTAATTAAAGATAAACGGAATTGATTTAAAATAATAAATAATTTAATATGTATTATAATAGCGATATAAAAATAACCTTAACACTACTTAAAATGAATTTCGCACGAATTTTTTAAAGCCCTTTTATGAAATATAAATTGGCTTCTCTTACCTATAAAGAAAAACAGTACAAAGTCCTAAAACTACAGACAAATTTTTACTAGGAATCAAATTTTTTTGTAAAATAGCAGTGGCGTGTATTAAATAGTTTTACAAATAATCAAAAGTTTAGTAAAATAAGGCGTAAAAGATTTATATTCGTGATTTTAGATATTAATGTGTACATTGACTAAGTTTACATGAAAAAATTGCATAAAAGTATTTTACTCGTGCAAAATCTTTATGTATGTCTTCACAAAAAAGAAGAATACGTATAAATATAATTGAATTATAAAAAACCTTATGCTCACCAATAAAACAAAAAAAAAAAAAATACGCGAAGGGAATTAATACTTTATATGCATATATAAATCGTATCTATATATATTAACAACGATCTCATGTATAGTTATTAACAATGTCATGCGTTTTTTGGTTAATTTTAGTATCAGATTAAAAAAAAAGAAAAGAATAAGAAATAAATTGTATTTATATACAAGATTAATTACTTTATGATTACAATGTAATTAGATTTAATGCCAGGCATTTCGTATACAACAATAAAATAATAAAATTTGAATCGAAAACTAAATTTATTCAATTTATACGCATTCTATGGTAAATATAACACATTTTCTCATAAATCAAAAAAAAAAAAACCTTTTTTCGAAAGCATCATACATTTTCCTTAACTAAGTTTCTTTTTAAATATATTTGTAATGATTAAATTAATAATTAATCTTAATTTATTTACAAGTACTTTTAAGTCAAATTTCGATAATATATTAAATTCTCTTAACTGAACTGTTATCTGTTATCAGCGATTAGTGAGTGAGCATAAGGTACGTTTATTTATTTTTTAATGTAGTTTTGCTAATTTCCTAAAGTAATGTTTCAAATTACATTTTTAGCATGTTTCGGCTGAACTTTTTAACAGCTTTTATTATAATTTTTTTTTATAAAATTTTTATTCACACACAAAACTCAATACGAACATATTTAAAACGCGAACGTACTTTTGTATAACACAATTGCAATTGTTATCATTTTATTTCTTTATCCTTTTTACGTATATAGTAGACTCTTGGTATAATGAGGGTCTTATTTCGAATGTATTTTATATGCAATGTTTGTTGTTTAGAAAGAATATTTTTGATGTTTCTTGTCGGATACGCGTTAAATCAAGGATCTACTGTATATATATTTTTTAAAATATTTTTACTAAATTATCTATATACATATACATATATATACATACATATATATATAGATATATATATATTATATAATAATAATTTTATAAAATTTCTGATTTTTTATAGAGGACATCGCACAGAATAATATCACGGATTTCAGTGAATTGTTGAATCACTTACAGAACAGAGAAATCGAAGGTCTTCCTCCTGGTGGTGGTATATCTTCAAAGTAAGTTGAAAAACGCAAATAACAAAAAATAAAACTCAAATCAAAAAATAATGTAATCACCTGTTGTCAATTAAAATATCTATCAGTATGTTATTGCATTTATGTTTATGTTGAAATACAAAATTAAAGTAAATAATATTTTTACAGACACGCAGTCATTGAGCGGACATTTAAGGAACTATATCCGGAGAAACAGTGTGAAGTACATAATTATTTTATTGAAATATAAGCAACATGATTTAATGCTTTCTATTACAATTATTTAAATAATCTGCAAACATTTTTTTATTTTAAATAATTCATGCCATTATTGTTTCGTTAATTCATTTTGCGCTTTCTTATAACAACTTAAGCAACATTAAATTATTATATACATTTAATATGTTTTATTATTTGCTAAACCATTAATAGAATAACATTATAATTTCAAATATATTTTAATCAATTTCCTATAACTTATGCACAATTTTTTAATTTTTTATTTGAGTAAGTGCTTGAGGTTTATCTGCCTGCATTATTAAATCCTGTAAAGCACAAGAGATTACTTATTAACCAGTTTTTAGTTTGTAGTTATTAATAAAAAATATTTATAGGGTAAAAAGTAAAAAAAAAGTAGTGTTCGATTAGGTCTGTAAAGCGGATCGACGATGACTGACATTTCCTTAACATTTTCTTAACTGTCTATACTCAGAAGTAAATATATATATATATTTTTATATGAGTCAAAGAAGTAACTTTTAAACATTTCCTTAACTATCTATATTAAGAAGTAAACATATATATATATTCTTATATGATTCGAAGTGTGTTATGAAAGCAATTTAGTGAAAAACTGTTGAACTTGCATTCATTTCCATTGGATTATCTAATAATGATCCTAAAAGTTGTGGTTGGATTGCAGTACAGACAGTTGTATGTTAAAAGTGTTAAAAGAACATGTTGCTGAAAATAATTGGTAATTATTTTTAACAAATATCAATTATGATATTTTTTTGAAAGTCTGTAATTATGTGCCAAGTAGTTACATTTGTTAATACGATCTAAATGGACATGGTAAATAAAAACACTCAGCTTCAAATTTACAATTTCAAAGTTTTACACTTGGCACTTATTCACCCTAAAAAGAAGTTATTTATGAATTAAAAAAGAAATAAATATATCTAAAAACCACTGATGAGAGGGCATTTCACAGTACTTGAAACAGCTATATGTGCAGCCAAAAAATTCAATTGATTGAATTTAATACAATTCAATTTTTCATCATTAGTTAATCAGTTAGCAAGTAGTTATTAGTTATAATTCAATACCCTTTAACTAACATGGTTTGTCGCTTTATCATTGAATTAACGGCAATGGCTGATTAGAAAAAAGTATGTTATTTTTGCTTCTTTGGACATTTTAACTTAATCCTTGTCAAGACACTCTCCAAGTAGTTAATCAATTCAAAAAATGTCTAAACCTCTCTAAAAATTCTTTACCTCTTTAGAGGTAAACACATGTGTTTGCTGATAAATGCAAATGATGTTCTTTCATTCCTCCCCCCTTCACTCATTCCACTCGTGAGCCAGATATGTGTCCTTCCGAATAACATATCCGCACGCTCATAACGAGTGTAATATAGATTACAAAGAAGTTTCTCATAAGTTAAAACGTGTTCCTTATAGAGAGGTTTTTTTTGTATGCAAAAATTTGTTTGCGTACCTGAAAAAATTTCGTTATAGAGAGGAATTCGATGCGGAGAGGTTCAGATATATGAAAAATTTCAAAAAATCGCTGTGTCTTCAAAAAAACTTCGTTATAGAGAGGTATTTGTTATAGGAAGATTTGCTAAAGAGAAGTTTCACTGTACTTATATAAAAGTAATTATTATTATAAATAAGTTGAGATAATGTTGATTAAGAATTTACCAAATACTAAGAAACTGAGTTTTCTATATGCTTTGCTTTGGTATCTATGGGCTATTACATAAAACTGAATATCTACATTATTTTGGTTTACAAAAAATATTTATTATGAAATTAAGTTGAGATGATATTCATTAAAGTACCATAATAAATTATTATCATAATAATAAGAATATAATAATAATTTACATTACCATATTATTATTATATTATCATATTATTTTTATATTATATTATCATAATATATTATCATAATATTATTATTTATTTTATTATTATCTAAAAATAAGATTATAATAATGATTTATAGCTGATTTGTATTAGTGTCGACCTCAATATTTTAGGCTTTAGGTCATATTTTTATATATATAAATTATATAATTGTATTTGTATAGTTGTAATAACACTTAAGATAGACCTAAATATTTCTTTCTTTCGAAATCTTAAGTTTGTTTTTTATATAATATAAGTTATAAGTTAAAAATATAAATTTAAAAACACGACCTAAAGCCAGGCAAAATTTAAAACACAACAATAATTTATTATAATATATATTGTGACACAATATTGCATGATATTCCATTATGGAACAAAGTAGCTATGCTATTTTACTATTAGATCTATAAACGTACTTATTTCACATATACTATATATATATATAATATATACTATATGTATTTAATATATATATACGTTCTTATTTATAATATATATATACTCTATATATATATTTATATCATATATCTATATAGTATTTTATATAAATTCTATATAATATATATTATACATATATATATATATATATATATGTATATCTATATGGTTTTTTTATATACTTTAATCTGGCTGTAAGCCCCTTGTTAAATAATTAAATGTTTAATATTGTTCTATCAATATAGATGATAGACCAAAGAGGAGGATGTATCGTAATCCTGATGATGACTCCCAAGGAGAGTCGAAATATAGAGTATAATAAAAAATATTAAACGTTTAATTATTAAACAAGAAGAGACCTACAGCCACATTAAAAATGTATAGAAAAAACCTTTTTTAATAGACAGGTCGAAAAATAAAGTAAAATTTTTTATGTATATTTATATTTAAATAATTATTAATCTCTTGTGTTAATATAGCATTATTTTACATATTATTGCACTTTTTTTTAATATACTTTTTGCTTATAATTTTTGTATGATGTGGCGCAATTGTTTTTTTTCTTTAATTTATCTATTCTAAATAACAATATTGGAACTTCTTTTATAAAAAATTGTCTTTTCTAACCTTTTCAGAGTCCGTCACAATGAAACTCCTCCATAAGAATTGTGTAAAGTGCAAATTAAAACAGTAAAGATTAAAATAACCAAAAATTAAACAAAACACTTGACAGCTTAAACATTATATATATATATATATATATATATACAACAGATAAAATATAACAGAGTACTATAATTTTTGATATCTACAGCTAAAGTGAAAAAAAAAGAAAAACAACAACAACAACAACTACAAATCTACTCACACAACAAACACAAAAGCCTTAATTTAAGTCTATTTTTACAAATGAATTCAACTAAAAATAAACTATGCAGTATGTTTCTTAATTTAATTCCTAAAATGCAATTGCAAAATTTAATTGATTTTTTTACCTTTAATTAAACTTATTTTTTTACGTATAAATAATTTTATAAATTATAATAATGTTAATAATCTGTTTGGTTAGAAACGTTTGAGTGGAGTGATTCAGACGTGCGAGAGTTACGGCATTTTATATATTATTTATTGCTTAGGAATCGAAAAAAAACTACGCTTCAATTTAAACTAACAATAACTCTACGACGAATACATGTAAATCTATTATTTTTTCGTTTTTATAATTTTAATTATATATTTAAATAAGAATTGTTGGAATTGTGTTAGAACAATGATGCGTTTGACTGAGGCGCTTCTCTTACTGACAAGTAAACGGGCTTCCATGTCAACATTGTGCTTATTGTTCGTATACTTGGACGGGCGAGTGATTATTAAAAATATCTAGATATTTCTAGATAAAATATTTATTATCAATTCTATAAATTTTGAACTCTTTGTACGTACGTCTCTGCTCTGACGTACGTCAGTTCTGTAGCCAGAAATTTACTGCCGAGGGATTCAAGATGAAATGCTGGATCGACTATAGGACTGTATTACTAATAAGCATACAAATGTATGTAGTACTTCTATTTATACTTCTTGATTCAGCACCTCAAGCCTCCCCTGGCGGCTACATGCCTGTCTCTGACTATTATGTTCTTACCAAATCGGCTAAGATGTTATTTATGTAAAATACTTATCCTTGTTAATTCTGCTTTGTTTACATATATTCCAATATAATAAACATAAAAACGTACAACTTTGAAAAGTCACTTCCTAAGCTGTTGTGCTTTCAATTACAACCTCTATGGCTTGTGAAAAATTATAGGTCATAGTTCCTCACAAACTATTAAATAACAGAACAATTCAGAACAATGGTGTTGAACAATATTTAAGGACACTTTAAGATAGTGTTTTCCAACAGATTATATATATTTTACGCTAGTACCTAATGAGAGTACCATCGAAGCAATGAAATTTTAGTTTCTAATCCAATCAGAAAGCAACATGAGTTCTGCTTAATATTATTTGTACACAACTCCATTTATTTTAGTAGGAACCCATTGTCTGCGTTCTCAAAAGTTAGTAGCGTTAAACATCCAAGTATTACTTCAGAACAAGTTCGGTACATGTTGTAAAAGGTCAGCATCTGAGGGGAAGGGTTACTATTTTAAATATTTTTTATTTGTTTGTGTGTTGCAATCACATTTTCGTTTCTTTTTAGTGTAAATGATTAAAGTATGAAGATCAGTTACAGGTGTTCCTGTCATAAACATTAATACGAGTACCATCATTCTTAAGTATAAGATAAAAAATAATAAAAAAAACGCAAAATCACAAAAAAACACATACAAATTAATTCCTAAAAAGAACTTAAAAATTTTACATTTTTCCATAAAGTCATTAAAAGAAAAACTATTTGTAAACTGAAAGAAAGAAAATATATATGCTCGAGTTTGTAGTAAATGTTAATAAATAAATATAAATTGAAAAACTTTGTGTATATAACATAAATGTCTGTATTTTGAGAAAATTCCATGTGAGTGTTTATAATTCTTACTATTCTTACTATGCCTGAAATATAATATTCTTCGTGTTAAGCAGAATAACATCACACCTAATTGTACTCCAACGTTTTGTGTAATATCATGAGTTGCTTTCTGTGCTTGCATTAAAATTGACCGTATACCAATCAAGTCATCTCCACAAACGACAAGTATTATCCTTAGATGCTGTTACAATCATATCACCTGTGTAGCTAAAAGCGCAAGAAAACACATCCGATTTATGTCCTGGTAGGATTTGCGCGCAATTGCCAGTTTCCGTATACCACAAACGTGCTGTGTGATCTGCAGAAGCAGTCAGCAATAAACTACCAGCTGGACTAAAACATACCTAAGCAATAATGAAACAAAATATTAAGATATGCATTAATTTATTATATAACTTAATTGCCTTTGAAATTTCGTCCACATGGCCCTGCATAAGAGAAATAGATTTCAATTCGCCGTTTAGATTCCAGACTCGTGCTGTAGTGTCACTACTGCAAGTGGCTAAATGCCTTCCTACGGAATCAAACGCCAAATCTAACACTTCATCGTTATGAGCATCGATGATGAAAAGGCTTCTGTCCAGTCGTCGCACATCCCATATGCGAGCTGTGTTGTCCAATGAACCAGTGGCTATGAGATTGCAAGGAAAATTCCATTTACAATTACTGAGTTCTTCTGTGTGCTCACGTAGCTGTGCGGCAATGCTATTGAGAAGAAAAGAAGGTTCATAATTCATTAAATTTTCTAAACTATCAAAGTTAAAGTAAATTAAATTATTATTATTAATCTTAAATTATTATATTAAATTTAAGTTCTCTTAGCAAATCTGTAATATTATGTGTCACCCAGTACAGTTCCCTTCAAATTTCAAAATATTATATCATTGGAGTTTACCCACTCCATTACATTACTTATAACATAGATAACCTACATAGTATTGGTTTTTCCAGGGTTACCTATTTGCTCGTATATCCCATAGAACTGCAGTGCTGTCGAATGAAGCAGTCAGCAGTAAATTTGCATCACGATTAAACCTACTTGCAATAACACCAGCTTTATGCACTTCGAAGCTTTGCTTTTCCAAAGAAGTCTCGACATCGAATATGAGAGCAATGCCATCCATTGAGGCTGTAGTCAATGACATACCACTAGCAGGGTCAAATTCAGCTGCTACTACTTCAGCCGAGTGTCCGTAAAGTGTACTCTGACATAGGCCAGTTTTGGTGTTCCAAATCTTTGCAGTTGCGTCAAAACTACCCGTTAGTACTAAGTCGCTGTAAGAAAGATGAAAAGTTCAATTCAATAAAATTTTTATTTTTCGTAAGATTCTATTTCATAATTACGTTTTGGGATAGTTAAAGGCAACTGCGAATACTACATTGTCATGTCCAGTTAGCACATGCTCTACTTCAGTCGTATTAGTGTTTATAATTCGGCAGGTCCTGTCATAGCTTCCAGTCACAACACGTTCACCAGTTCTATCGAAACTTACGTTCGTCAATGGCAAGATATGCGAAGTGATGCTCTTATGTAAGTAGAATTTCTTATCCATCGGTTCCCGCAGTCTTCGTTGCAATTTCTTTACAGCACGTCTCAGTACACAACTGCTATCATCCACATTGTTTGTGTTCCAGTGCAAAACATTCATTGTGCCACTTATTTTAATATTTGATGTTTCCAAGTCTGTGGTAAGAATGTCCTTAGCTAATTCGCCCTTTTTCATATCTGCAATCGGTGTTGCTATAGCTGTTGAATTTAAATCTGATGTTGGAAGTGGGTTCAATATTTCTTCAATGATTTTGTTCTGTACCTTATTTATCTGATGTACGGTCTCGTCAACATTCGTGCTATATAATTAATTAGTTACATACACAAGTATAAGTACTTATTTCATTACCTACTTGGCATTTAAATCTAATAGATCAATGTGATGCAATTTTTCTCCTTCTGGCATATTAAAACCAAGAGCGATGCCTGCTCAAATAAAAAATCTTTTATGATTTAAAATGATATATATGTAAGAACCTCAAAAATCTATTTTTTAGAAATATTTACCAGGTGGAAAATATCGTAAATAAATTTTATTAAAATACATTTTCTTTTAAACAGTTTAAAAGTGTTTAATAACGTTTTTTATATTTTCAAATTCAATATTGAGGAGTTTGTTTAATCAATATCAGTCATAACAACTTTGCTTATTAGGAGGACGGGTATGACTTCAAAACATTTTAACATTAGAATAATATAACTGCAAAATTTTTCTCAAACATTTTTTATGTAAATTGATTGAAAAACAAAATATTTAGAAACAATAGAGAATTTTCACAGTATTCCAGTATAGGTACTATAAGCGGTGACCACCATGGGCGTAGCGTAGCGGGCGAAATAGGATCCATGAGTATCGTATGGGTTCCTAAAGATAACATATTCCTTGGTTTTTCTATGTGGGGACCACTCACTTTTAATTGTGATAGATATTGAGCAGAACTTTACTAAATTTCTTTTTATTTCGTATTTAAAATGTTATATTGAATTGGTAAAATAATTTATAAAACTTATTTTAAATTATGAAAATTTTACTTCTGGTTCTTACGCTTCTAGCAAGTTTTTTTCTCAAGGGATTTTTTAGCACACTCTTATAAAGAAAACTAAGAACTTATTTATATCTCTTTTTCTCAAAAATAATTTAAATGTTTTGATGCTCAGTTTTGATAAAACAAATGTATATAAATCAGTCATATTAATGCACCAAAGAATTTTATTTAATTAAATCTAGATATCCATGAATGCATCAATAAATTCGGATCAGTTAACGATCACTTTTCAGGCAGTATATGAACATTCGGGCATACTAAAGCAATATCTATAGGAACTAAATAAAAACACTTTTAATCCTTCTTGTTACATGTCCTACTATTTTCATCAAGCTGTATTGTATGCCAATAAACATAGCGAATGAAATATGAATAATAACCATATGAATATAATTCGGATAAGTGAATGCTTGTGCCTAAAAGCGAGTGTGAAAAACTTGAAAAATGGAAATATATAAACCAAGACGATTGATTGTTAGTAGCGTTGCGAGCATTATCGTAAGCTATTAGTCCATGAGCTTAAGTTTTTATTTCTTTAACTTTAATTCGAATACTTATCCTGTAAAACGGAGCTTTTAATAGGCTTTTTAGTACTTTCTCGAAATACTGGGAATTTGTATACAAAAGCTCATATTTAGTACAGCTTTTCGTAGTCAAATAAGAGTAAGCAGAATATAAACAAAAATATTAAATATTTTTGTTAGATATTTGTTAGATAAAAAGACAACAAAAATATTTAGATTTCTGTTCTTGTCAAAGCGACAAAATCTATTGCTTCGAAAATGTCGATTGATGGTTCATTTGGATACATATGTAGGAAATTTAAGAGCTATTCGCGATATCTTCTATTTGGTATTTTTGGTCAATGTATTTAGTTTCTCTTAATTTGGTTTGGTATGCATTGCAATGTTTGGCATGACTCTGGTTAGGCTTTTGTTGCTGGTGTTTGGCTTTTGTTAATGGAGCTCTTTGAAACCATGCAGAACTGGGTTTACTTTTCTTCAAAGCAATTAGGAAGCAGCACTAACTTTCATACAAACAAAAATTGTTTCGCAAAAGTTTTATGAGTTCTTTTTATTATTTTATTTTATTTATTTTTATATAAAATAGTTTCTTTTTAGATTTTGTCTGTGTATTCCTTATTGTATAAGGATAAAGTTTCGCGAAGTAATAAAAAATATCAATTAACGCTTATATAGATAGACTCAAGTCCTGAAACTGAAGTTGTGATGGCGTTATTCAATGAATGCATACAGGGTAACTAACGGGGATTATGCATATCACAGAACATCACAGCAATGGAACGGGCGATGAGGACTGCGATGCATTTTAGTTTCTTTTGACATGCCATGAAAATCAGATGTGTCCATGATGTGCTTTCCTCCATTTGAATTTTAATGCTAAGTTTATGTTTTATTTGAATTGTGACTTTTATTTTCATATTTAAGATTCATTAAATTACGAGAAGTGTGCAAAGGATTGCAGAGAATTTGAGTAGAACTCAATTGTTTGGAATTTTAATTTTAATTTTTTTATTTTGGTTGTAATATATTTAGGTATTTAAAATTAAACTATCACTTTAAGTTTCAACGTCACTGCTTATTCTTAAAATTTTCAATGCATAGATGCAAACTTAGTTAATTTAAGTAGCCACTTTATATAATATGAAATTGAGGTCCTTGAGGCTATTCTACACACTTAAAAAGGAATATTTAAAGTATAAATTAAATTTTAATTACACACACTGTATAGTATAGAATATAGTATAGAAGTCACCTACTACACTTGAAGATGAACAAATATATATATATATATATATATATATATATATATATGATATATATAGGTAAAGCTCTTCACACTAAGCACTGCAATGAAGATGTTTGAGAATAATGTTCGCACTCACATATCCACACGTTATTGTTCCTCGCATAGTTCTTCCCTGATTATGTCTTTCTTTCTTCCTTGTGACAGATGTTTTCTTTGGTCGAAGTATTACTTTTTATTTTTTTCAATGTTTTTGATAATGATGTTTTTGATCTGTCTGTTTTAATTTTCCCATACAAAATCTTACAGGGTCAAAAAACATTCTTTTATAAAAAAAGATACAAAATTTAAGAAATCTACTAGATTTAATGGATACTAGGTTTATATGGTAGGTTTGTTTTCAATAAAATTTTTTTCTTTAATAAAAAATAGCTTAAATACTTAAACACATATTATATTATATAACTTTTAATTAATAAACCATAAATCGATAGGAGCTATACTTCTCCAATAAAGTCTTTTTAATAAATGAAATGATTAAAAATTTTTTCATGTTGAATTCTTTTAAGCTCCACATATGTCGGCATTATAAGATAATTCCCATATTAGAAATGAGCATTTACGCCATCCTCCACTCTGATTTGTGATTTGAAGAAATCATCATTCGAATATTATTAATATTGCAAGAAAGCATTCAGGCTTTCTATTTAGTTATTCATGTATATCGATGAGAAGTGACGCCGACACATAAACCCACCCATTCCAGGAGCATATAATCGAAGTAATTTTATTTAATTTTATTTAACCTTCTATATGTAATTAACTTAACGTATTTATTGTTGAATTATGAAATTTATATTCTGAATTGCGGTCCTCACCTCTATTTTTTAATCGTCTAATACATATAATAAATAAAATAAAATAAAAAATTATTATTTTGTATTTCTTTTGATATTCTGCGTTTTGAGAATTTATTTTAAAAACTGGAAACACTATGGATTTTTCTTATATACCACAATAGAAACTATAATTTGTGAAATATAGTAAGTTTAAAAGTATTGGCTAGAACTTCTGAGTTTAAGAGTTTTTTGAAATCTATTAACTATTCTGTCACTGAACAACACAGTTTTTACATACAAACACTAGAAATGGACTTCTAGTAACTGCTCGTAAATCTATTCCTTCTTCTCCAGATATTTAAATTCTTCGCAAAAATTATATTAAAATTAAAAATATGTAGAAAGTGTTAATATTTTCACACAGTTTAAGCTTTTAAGCAATCACAAACAGAAGAAAACTTTGTGCTTCTGGGATTTCATTCATTGCTTCACTAATTCATGATCATAAAATTTATAGAAGTTCGAAAGTCTTCAGTCGATCCACTAACTAAAACTCCTCTGAACAAGCAAACAACATCTTGCTTCTGGGGACATTCATTTTGAATATCGACGATGTCGTTATTTAAATTACTTACTGATATATGAGAAATGAGTACGCAGGTATATATGGCCCAGACTTATCGAACGATGGGTCTTACCAAATCCAGTAGAATCAGAAAGTTGATCATATAATGCAGGAATAGAATATGTTTGAGATAACCATGACAAGTAGAAAGAGTTTACTCAGACCCAAGTGTAAAATCAGAACGAAAGTTAAGGCACGTTAAAGAAAACTTCACTCAGTAAAGACTCGGTTAACCTCATTATAGTTGATTTCGTGAGCGCAGTCGCAGTCTCAAAGTTTTGGTCTTGAAAGCATGAAATTTCTTTCAACAAGATTTGTATATTTGATTATCGCAAATATATACGAGTAGTTCATAATAATGTTGAATTAAGAATTATGTGCATTTTGAGTTTTTGTTAGGATTGTTTTAAACAAACCTTCTTTGTGAAGTGTAACAAAAATGATATATTTTCTTTATGAGTAAAATGCAATGGTAGAAAGTAATAAAGTCATAGTTTTCATATCTCAAAGTGTGAGCGTCATAAAATTTTTACGGTTCATAGCAGCCAAAGTAAAAGGTAAATAACCGTGTTCTGTTTAATATGTGTATTGTATTCGGTGTTCTTAGAGAACTATTGTCGTAAAACCAAGTTTTATAGCTTTTATCCTTTCAATACAATGGTTCAAATACAATCTAGCATATTTTTGCTTGTTCTGTAATAATTTTTGAAAACTTTAACGATTTTCAGTAAAATTTATTTGGTACATGAACAACTGCGCTGCTGAACTGACTTTTTCGGGGTTGACCATATTCCAAATTTACCCCGCAACCAACGCTTAATCAACACACAATTATTTTTTTATGGACTCTAATGGAACATCCACCGCATAAACAATGGGATTCCGGCCATTATGTTGACCCACTCATAAACAAAGCTTTTAAATAAATTTCCAGAACAAAAAATCCAGTTCAATTGAATTGCTTTAGCAGCGCATTTCCTTTGCAATAAACAAGCGCAAATTCACAGGATTCGCGGCTTCACAGGACTCGCTCGCAGCATTCATAACATTCAAAAATTTTACAAAATATTTATGTTTGTTTTGAATTGTTTTTATGATTGTAGTAATTCAATTTAAACTGTTAAAATTTAAATCGCTGCCATAAAATACGAAAACCCCTCAAGTGGATTTACATTCACGCC